CCCCCAGGCAATTCCCAAATTGGCAAGAAGGATTCTGAGAAGGGCGACGCAGAACAAATGGTGATTGACCACCGTGAGCACGAGGCGAATGGGAGTTTTGCGCGCATGAGATTTCCAGGGAGTGAAGAAGGAGAGGTGGATGGAGGGGAGCTATGTCAGAGTCAGAGAAGCAGCGAAAAGGTATTTTATCTGAGACAAAGGAGCTGACGAATCAGTTTTGCTATGTGCTGCTCATGTCTTGCTGACGGCAGTTGCTCGAACCACCTTGCGCAACCACCCCGGCTGTGGCAAGACAAGCCATGGCAATTTGGCAATCTTGAAAGGAGAATCGCGTCGGCCAACCTGCAATATCTGGACACAATCAGCGTCTCGATTAGGGGGACAGGAGCCGTTTCTATGTCCAGCGCAGCTCTACTCCGCAAAGCTCTGGTGGTCATTGGTCACTGCTTTTGGGACGCGTGGAGGTAGCGAGCCCGCACTTGGTCTGCTGATCTATTCCAAAAAGCAGGAATACAGGTTGCGGCTCCAGCAGCCACGCTTGCAGACTTGATAGTCAGCGGGGCCAATGGCAAGGTGAAGGTGCGGCGGAGGCAAACTTCGGTTCGGTGGCTCCAAGCTGTTAACTGTTGGACAGTTACGGGACTTTCCAGCTTTGCGTAGTCCGGCGTCAACGAGAAGAAAGAAGATGCTAATCGTCCACTTGCAATGTCACTGCCCAGGGAAGAGGCGGTGAAACAGCGTTCAAGTGTTCCATGAAATGGCCTTGCGCCAACAGCGAACAGTGCAATCGTTTTGCCGAGAGGCGCTGCTCAGTTGGTTGCGATCTCAACTGAGCTTTTCGCTTCGCGCGCAGACCATGTGTTGTTCCAAGTGGGTTGGCCTGCCCTTCGTGATATACGATTCTCTTGAGCAGGTCCGTACCCTGTGTTGTTTCAACAAGTTGTTCAATTGTTCTTAGCGTGAGCTTGCGCTGGAAGCGCGCAGTCCTCAATGATTGCGTGGTTGACTACTGGTGCAACGCACGCCCGTCATTGACTGTTGAGCGTTCTTTATTGGAAAGCGGCGTCAAGCGCTAAGTGCCGGAAGAAATGTTGCAAAAAGGCGGCGCGCGTAGCTAAGAAACAGAACTCTTCAAAAAAGAGAACCCAAAGTTTCCACTTGGTGCGTGGCAGCCTGCAGGGGGACGCGGAGAGCGCGCAGGGCACTGTCGCACGGACATGACCACTACATGGGAAGACGATGCTTTCCAGCTCCACAATCTCTTGATTGGGACAGGGCCACCAATAAAACGACTCTTCTTTGGTCGTGCGTTTTGGTATTGGATGCTGAACGCAAAGGGCAAAGACCATTGCAAGTCGTGTTGGAACTTATATCCCTGCGTGGTTTGGATACTCCAAGGGCGCCAAATGCGTTCCCAACAGCAACCTTGTTTCTGGGGGTGTACGGTGGGGTGGGACTGGATACGGCCAGTGTACACCCAAACCCTTCTGCAACATCCTTGGTCCTAGTTATTTGCAGATTAGAGGTGAATGTTCACGGCCTAAGTGTGAGCTGCAAAAGGGATTGGGTTGGGTTGAATTTGAGGGCAGTGCCCCTTTGATTTCTCCTACCCACCCACCCGTACTTGTTGTACTTATGTTACGTTATGTTATGGATGTGGCAGCAGTCAGGCAGGTGCTGCCTGGCTGCTGCCCTGTGTTGGCTCATGCAGTGGAAAAAACGTGGGCTTCAGAGGGGCAGGGTGTTGTTAGTAGGGTTAAGAGAAGATCACTGGCAGTGACCAACCAAGTGGGGCCATCCATTTTCCTTGCAAACTTCAATCTTCAATCCCCCATCTCCATTCTTCTTCCGCCCGTGCCAATGCCAGCTTCATCGCTGGGCCAGCAAAGTGCACCGTCGGGATCTCAAGTTGACTGTGGTAGGAAACATTGCATAATCAAAGGCGTTCAGGATTTGCCGGTTCCGACATTGTCAATCATTTGTGTGGAAGTGCGCAGCTCTTGAAATTCAATATGCATATATATATATACATATGTATACCCTTTTTTTGTGGGTTGGAAGTGATGTGCTTGCCCTTCAACTCCTCCTCAGTGCCACACGCGCCAATATCCGTGAGTGAGATTCAGCCCGATCACAGATCAAAACAAGTGAAAACATGTGAAATCCAAACATGTGAAGCGTGCAAATCAAAGGATGTATTTACTTCTATTGTTCAATTTTTGATTCGCACGAGAAGCAGCGGCCTTCATTGTGTCCTTTGAGACCCTGGTCGAATTTACAATTGGTTTCATGTTGTAAATTGTTTCCTGTGACGCGGTTTGCGCTGGCATCAGGTTTCTCCACCTTCCCCTGGAAGACATGTCGTCAACCAAATGCAATCCCAAAATTGCGTCGGATAACAAATGGTTGTTGGTTCTCTCAAGTTGAATCTTTTCATGCTAGTTGTTGATGTTTGTTGCATGAGGAAATCCATGATGCGAGTATGCAAAAGGGTTTTCACAAGTCGAACACCCGGGCCAATGTTTGGAGTGAATTCATCCGGCCTTGCCACTAATGACCTTTACAAGAGGAGTTCCAGGCATTCTGCCTCTTCTTGGATGTCAGACGCTGAAACAATTGTCCAGTCCGCAGTAATTGTCCAATCTCACATGCCAAGGATCACCCGCTCTCAAGCCTCTTTGATCCCCGGATCTGCGTGTTTTTGGCTCATCGCATCCAAAACTGTAGATCAGATCCGAGACGTGCAGCCATGACCTGTGCACTTTCTTCAAGTGTTTCGATGGCACATCACGGCCACACCTTAAAGAATACGGCCACACCGGTCTTCTTAAAGCCTTTCACAAAAGGAACCTAAGAGCGATGGCTTTTTGCCAGGTTTTGCTTTGTAAAGGTGCGAGAGACATGTTGCCGAACTCTGACGAAGATTGTCATGTTTCTTTGTCCTTTCTGTCATGGAAAAAGTTTTGTTTCTGCCTTCGTCAATCCCTTTTTCTCGATAGTCTTTGCTTCGATTTCACATGTCCATAAAAACTTGAAACCATGTCCGTAAGCGACGAAGATTGAAGAGCCGAATTGTATCGCATATGGAGTGGAAGAGGCCTTGAACGATGCGGAAAAGAAACAAAGAGGACACTGGTTGAGCAAGAAAGGTAACTGCAAACAGCGGGCTTTGCTTTAGCGTGAGCTGACTATGAGGAAATAGAATTGCAAGAACTTCTGAAACCGAGTCACCTCCCCAAGCAGCCAAAATGCTGTAGCCTGGCTGCAGCTGCAGCTATCAAGATGACGTGGTTTGGAGAAATGAAGCACAAAGTCAATTAAATCCACTTGTTAAGTGCTACACCTGTGAGCATGATCGTTCGGCAGCAGCGATATCATGCACCTGGTGCACAGGGGGAGCTTTCACCATCTTTCACACGACCAGGTCATCCAAGGCCCAAGGCAAGAGCTTCAGGTTGCGCTTCCTAATGCAAGCGGCGCATCGCTCAGCCTACGCTGCGTAAGCTTTGCGGTGTAAACTCCGAATCGGAAAGCAGAGCTTTCTGCTTTGTTGCCAACTTGTCAGATGCCACAGGACGAATCAGTCTGAATGCGCAGAAAGAAAGGTCCAAAGGGGAAGAAGAAGAAGAAGAACGAAAAGAACACGAACAAGGAGCGATCGGACGCTACTAGGGGCTCCAAGCCTTACTAGGAGCAATGTTCGCCACTAGGAGCAAAGGGCATCGCTACGAACGGAGCAAGGACGCTACTAGGGGCTCCTGGGATCGCTACTAGGAGCATTCTTACTACTAGGAACAAGAAGCTATTAGCTTATTGTTTCTAGTAGCTTCTTGTTACTACTAGTAAGGCACCTGTTACTACTAGCGTGGCACTTGTTACTAGGGTAAAACATCCACGAACGCGAGTGCCACCACACCATGCGTTTTGGAATCATGTCGCCGACAAATAGCATCACAAGTTCAGCTCTCCTGTTTGGAAGCAAAGCCCTTCAGCCAAGAGCATCCAAAACCAAAAAGATAAAACAATGGCTTTTAGTTGGAGGCCATCGCTATTGGGTTTATCGGTGTATCGCTATTGTTTGGTACTGGTATGCTGCTTTTACACCTGGTTCTTGTTCTTGGAAACCCTTCAGCTGGGGAAGGTGGCCGGGAAGTTCAGCACTGGTTTAGCCGTCGGGGCCCTGGAATCCAATAGGTATTCAGAGTCGCTTTGACACACGCAAGAGGTTGACTTGGGCGGATTCCCATTGCATTTTGCATTGTAACATGAAGGCAGGAGCCCCTAGTAGCGTCCTTGCTCCTAATGTTTCAATGTCTATGGCCTCATGCAGTCGGCTGATAGAATTTAGCGCAGTTGGACGGGTTGAGCTGACATTCTGTTTTTGAGGCATCGCCTGCGTGTGCTCTCTCACCCAACTCCAATTTTCCAGGCGATTGTGTGAAATAAACTCCGAACCGTTTCTTCCCTTTCCCTTTGCGATGGCCTCCAACCTACTAGGGATCTCCTTGAAGCCAAGGCAGACACTTCGCATGATCAGTTGCAGGTGGTACGCCGTTGGACTCGGCATCTGATTTTGCATCGGGTCTTGCCTCGTACTCAGAGCGTGCGCACGAGGTTCCCGTGCTTGTTCTTTGCTCGAAACTGCGCACGAGGTTCCTGTGCCTTTGCAATGTTGGCCACATTGGCCTGTGTGCCTGTCCAGATTCGGCCGTTTCCTGTCTTCACGTCTTCCGTGTTTTTTGCAAGCTGCTTGCGTCGTGACAGACTGGGGAGCCAGCACTTTGCAAAGGCATTCAGATTGAGACACTGGAGGTGACGGGCGCCAGGGGTTTTTTAGCCTGCAGAGCGCACACTCGAGCAAACCTGCAGGACACTGCGACCGGATGGCCAGGCACATGTGCAAGCCTTAGGTGAAATGTATGTTCGGGTGGAATAGCCTTGCTTTGGTGCCAACGTGAACCAGTTCTTTGCCTTTATACTTTCGATATCTTTCGAATATAATCCAGGTCTTGGCTTACATCAAGTCACCATTGGGTCAGCCGCCATGGGTTCAAAACGGACTGAAACAGATTGAGAGAGAGAAAGAGCTGGACGAGTCAGTCGCATTTGGCCAGGGCCGAAGACTGTGAGTCGTCAAACTCCTAGATTCTCGGATTCTTTGAACCGTTCCCTAGTAGTAACAAGAAGCTACTAGGAACAAGTGCATCGCTACTAGTAACAAGTGCCTTACTAGTAGTAACAAGAAGCTACTAGGAACA